ATACTAACTCTCCTGACGAAGGCCCTCAGGTCGAAACGTCAAGAAGTGTTTTTGTCTATTTTCGGCAGTTGTTATACCACATTTGATGCTAAGTTGTTTGAAGACGCTGCTATGCTGCTCCCCGGTTATATTGCAAGGCATTAAAACAATCTACGTATATAGGATATTATAAGTGGTATACAGAGGTCGCGGTTTTAACATGCCGCAATTCAATAAATATTGAGTCCGATAATTCAATTTTTACATAAAAGAGGAGTTATTTCGCTTTCTGGCATTATTTTTTTGTAATATCACAAAAGAAATCCGTCGGAAAGAATTGAATATATGATCGAATCAACACCTCGCAACCCACCTCTGCCCTCTCCCTTGTTTACTGTTCTATGTTCGGAATTATAAATGAGTTGAACTCTGCAATGGATCACACGACTTGTGATCACTTTTACGATTCATGAAATGTGGGAGTATTGGAGATGCAAGTCGCAAACTTAGAAAACTTTATTCAATTTAGAGTTTGGTGATAACGTCGAATTACAGAGTGCATTGTCAAAAAAAATCTTCAGGAAAAATGTTGGCAAAAACCTTCTTGTTGCTTTGCGGAATCCATGCAGCATTCTGTGCAGGTAACTAAGTGTACGCCTGTATAGCTTTTGCAAACCCAGTGATCTACCTCGTTCCCAGGGTCTTCCGTACCGCGTGCCATGAACGCAAAAAATTTGGGAACGAAGTTCGATACCAAGCTTTCGGCCAGTGATTATAAGCTGCATGTAATATAGTGTATAATTATTTTGTAGTTTATAATTTATAGGTCAGTCAGCTTGACCAAATCTCCATTGATTGGTTGGTCCATAAGAACGCACTTTTTTATAAAAAAAACAACTACAAAGAAATCACGAAACCATAAAGTTTTTGTCATTTTCTATGGATTCTCGTTTGTTTTCTTAGCCGAGTGGAGAACTGTCGGATATGGGTGCGTTGGTGCAAGGGATATCAAATTTTTAGCACTGAGGTACACCGGCCAATCTGGTTTCGTGAGTGCATTCAGGATGACTCACACGAGTGGAAAACTTGGATGCTATCAAGCTGCACGGTCAAATTGGGGATGTAATTATCACGGTTTAAACATGTTCGTCACAGATACAGAAAATACGATCATGTATCCTTCGCCTGTGTTAACCAAGCCTTATAAAGCTGGCGGCTGGTATCGTCTGCCTGGTTACTATCACAATTCACCTCAGCTGGTTCTCTCAGATGTGGGCACCAGGTTCATTTATCAAAACCAAGATATACGAATCTGGTATGGTGAAGATCTTTACGACTTCACTGAGAGCGACAACCATGGAAAAACTTGTTTTAAAGCTCAATTTTACTTTGTTAATTAATCGTTTATTCAGAGACCGATTGGTCCGATTCCAACACGTATATTCATTGTTAGATTTTAATAGGCAAAAGGCATTCCTTAATTTTTTGTACGCATTTTTGTTTTTGTGCAATTTTGTGAAAGTTTAAAAATACATTTCGACTTAAGATTAACAGTTTGTGTTGTTGGCTTGTGGAGTTTTTTAATGCAGGAAATTGCACAGTTAGGTCTTAGGAATGTGTTTCCACCAAAACAAATTACTTTCGCTCCTTAAAGCCCTTGGGAGTTCAAGTTAGCGAGGGACTACTGTATTTTGTAATAAGAACCTATTATATAGCCTGTTACTAAAAAAATACTATTTGTTACGTCCAGAGAAGCCTTTTCTGTTTTTTCTGGATTGTATGGTCTTGCTCGCTTCGATCTCCATGTAATACCACTATGTAATACCATTATGCTCTTTCAAATGCCATAGACTATACACTTCCTTATAATTTAGTAGCGTTTCGCTTTTCATATTAATTTTATTGAAAGAAGCCTTATGCATGGTTTGAGTGCCTATTTAGTTTTATCATTTTCAGTCAGCCAATTGAGGGAATAAGCGCTGGTAGAAGTTACTGTGACCTGATAACTATTATTAGATGGATTTGATCTCATTTAAAGAAGTTGGTTTCATGCATGCAGGCGTCTCCTCTTCTAAATGCGCTATAATTATAGTAGAAAAACTGATAAAAATTACGTATAATGTATGTTTACTGTGTTAATAACAGTGTTATAAATTTATAAAATGAATACAAAGTACCGGGTAGTCATAGGCTGGTCTATATATTACCATATGTTTTTAATGTTTGCAATCGAGAACTGAAGCGGATGTCAAACGCCAAGGAAAAACATGCCAACATTTAATTACACACGTGAATTTCTGAGCATTGTGACATCTCGTCTTTGACTGGTTAACCTTTTCATGCGTATAAACCAATTTAGGCATAATTACTCGGGCTTTCCACGGGAAATGCCCGAGGTATAAAATGGGCTTCGGTTTTCCTTTTTTTTTTTTTTGTGTTAATCGCGAAATCGCAGTCAAGACAAAAACACGCATGTGCAAAGGAACATATATGGTCAACACAGGATAATAATTGTGTTTAACATTAACAGTGATTCAAATATGGCGTATTGTAGGAGTGAATTTTTGTCCCACAAAGTCAACACAAATATTGTGTATAACAAGCTCAATGCATACACAAAATGTGTGTACATCGTTCAATATAGATGTATACATGTACGAAAAGAGCTTTTTCGGGTATTCAAGCGTTATGAGAGATCAATTTATGATAGATCAATTTTACGTATCTAACGTAAGCGAACATATATGAGGGATGATGGCATCATCGGGAACCAGGCTGTAGTAACTGAGTTATCTAATATTATTCCACTGAAGGATGTACGCGCATTGCATTTTGTACTTATCTGCGATAATGCACCAGCTCAACCAACCAAAATAAGAAGAATTACAGTTACAATGCGAATTTTGGAAAGTGTCAAAAGGAATAGAAAGGTTAGACTATTTGTTTATTTATATTATTCACGTATTCGATATATAATCATATTTATGGAGACAATGGTGTATTGTTTATATGCCAATATTAGAATGTATGAAAATGGAGCAAAGTGTTTAAATTGTTGTGAACAAGTATATCAATGTAGTTTATTGTGTTCTTGTAATAAAGTGATGTGTTCTTTCAAAAGCAAGATTCATTTGGAAAATGATTACAAATATAAATTAAGTGGGGACATAGAAAAAAATCCTGGGCCTTTAGTGTATGTCGACCCAAACAAAACAATAGCAGCTCCATATAGTCAAGGCAATCAGCTGCTTTTTGGGCAGAATGCAGGGCAGCAATGTGTTGCAATGAGTTTGTGCTCATTGATTTACAGTTACACAATTAAATGGTATCAGTTCTGCGAATGACCTTGTAGAAATAATGAATATTGGAAACAAGTTGTATTCAAGATTGTCACAATTAGTCGGACAGGCATTTTTAATGCAATCAGAATTACCAACAATATTAAATATGTTTGATACTGATTACCAGTTAGGGTACAGTGAAAGCTACTCAGGTACTGTTAAGCAAGAAAGTTCTACAGAGGGGTATCAATACTGTACCTCATTGCAAGAAGCTTTTGAGTGCCTTATATCTGATAACTACACCTATTTCATATTAATGGTGGGGTGTATTGGAGTTGCAATTTATTGTAATCATAGTGATATTGGGTTCAAAATATTTCATTCTCATGCATGAGATTTGTATGGTAGAGGTCATCCTGAAGGTACATGTGTACTTCTTGAAGTGCCGTCTCTTCAATTTTTAATACATTACTTTCAGAGTATATTTAACAATTATATATTTGAGTTGAAAGGTGTACAGATTGAGAGAGTTCAAAATAGCATGCTTCCACCCAATAGCATGCTGACCCACAAAAAGTCAAAATATATATACTCTGCCTTGCTTTATATTTTATAATGACAGAGATGACCCTCCTATTGCATATTCTAAAAGCATAAATGGAACAGATTTACTTAATTGTCACTACTACTAGAAATATTCAGAAGAGATATAACTCTTCAGGACATTACATAATTCAATTTTTGTCATGTTCATGTAACATTGTTGACAAAGATGAAAGAGAAAGATTAATGAATAAATCTAGACAGAAGCAAAACTATTATGCAATGGAACCAGCAAAGAAAAAAATACTTTTAGAGAAAAGAAAAAATAGACATACAAATATATCACCTCATGATACCTAATTGTCTTATTAATGTATTCGGCATATGTAAAATACGGCGTATAAAATGGGCCTAAAACATTTATATTTTTAGGTCATTGGTAAAGATACTGATGACAAAGAGTTGACTATAAAAATGGGAGATGAAGTCCTTTCGAGCTTGTTAAACATTTAGGGGTTTTAGCACTGGATGAAGATGCCTTGGCGGAACATTTGCTATTTGTCAATAATGTCACGTTAACGTACGAAAAGAGCAGTTCATTGGCAATAGCTTTTTGTTAATTTCTGCTTTTATAGTTGTGTGTATTTAATTTACAATTTTGTTGTGTGTATTAAAATTTCTATATCATACCTTCATGGGTTTTATTACTCGCGCTACCTGTGGTAGCCGAGTCTAGGTTTCGCGATTGTTAATTTTTTTTCGTGTCGCAGGCCTAGTCTTCCGCGCGGACAGTCGCGTATTTAGAGTGTATTCAGTGTATCAATATAGCTCAGTTTCAGTTCAGTGTATTTATTGAATACATAGCCCGAGTTAACGCCTACCCGGCGTCTTGTTCCAAATAGTTTGGTCATTACAATTGTTTCTTCAGCCAATTCTAACCATGGTATTCTAAGAAAAGAAAGCCTGCTAATAGCCCAGAGAAACCTATTGCTTAATAGTAATTTTCAAACCTATCAATCAACACTCTTCTAATTTGCTGGTATAATTCTTGTGTCTGTTATCATCATCAATTAACACTGACGCTAACTCTTGAAATTCCTTTCTAAATTAATATATTCCCTATAAATTTGAACTTTATGCTATATACTAGATGGAATAACAAGTATTTAGTCTGATGATTTCTGTGACCTTTGTCTCTGAGCTTCTAACAGGAAGATCAAACAAGGACAACAAATCGATCAGTAGATATAAATAGAGAGTTACATATAGTCATATGATATTCAGTTCAAGTCACAGTGGTCATTGGATATAGTTGCGAGTGGAATTGGCACAAGTAAGTTCGTACAGATATAATTTTTGTGCATTTATATGTCATAATAAACCAGACCACGGGTCGTTGTAGCGCTGCGGGTCAATGAGTTAGCAAGTCAGCTACTATGTTGTACTAGACTGACAATATAGTTATTTTGTAGAACATTCAAATCGTCCAAAATGACTTTCATAAATTTCCGCATTTGGTCAATCCGGATCTTTAGACGGCATTAGTAAATACGTAGGCTCTCGACGTTATAAATATTGCAGATACCATTTTCAATAAAGCAAAAAATGCTGAAGTATAATGCTTGCAGACTGATTTTTTAATATTAAAGGCATTAATAATTTATATACCTTTGCAGTGAAGATGATGACTTCCAGTCCAAATGTCTGGATATGAAAACATTCTTTGTCGGGCGCGGCTATCCCTCCCCACTTATTGACACTGCTTTATCAAAGGCCTCTGACATTTCCCGCTTAGACACCCTTAGAGACTCTGTCTCTACCACCCCTAGCATTAATTCTACTCCCTTAGTTCTCACACACTATCCCTTCAATTTTGCTATTAGGGATAGCCTACTTAGGAATGTTCATATCCTGCAGAGTGATCCAGAGACATCTTCCATTTTCACCGATAACCTCCTAGTCTCTTTTTGGCGCAACAAAATCCCGGGACACATTGGTTCACAGCTCTCTACAGCAAAAATGTTCAGAGCTTAATGGCACATTGAATTTCCCTTGCGGCATTGGCCATCTTTTACCGATTCCAGCACTGTTATTTCGGCTCCCGATTCACAGTTTTTTCAGCAGGCACCATTTCATATGCCTCTCCTTCAACCTCATTTATTCCATCTCGGCGAACTGGAAGACACTTTACTTGGTAATCATAGTGTCACGGGCATGAAAATTAGAGCCCTCTGTCCCATTTCCGGTACTAACAATAGATGTAAACGACAAGTATTGTGACTCATCCACAGTCTTGGCACTCCATCCCTCTGGCATAATTGAAAGACTCTCTTTCATTTAAACTACTTCACCCATAGCTCAGTGCTTCACCCATAGTAATATGACTCCCTTTGCTTTGTTTACATCAAAGCTGGTTGTAATGCGTTTTCGTTGCTGCTCAGGCTTCCCTCATTGCGGACTTTTCTTGGCCCACAATCAGGCGTCTCTTTGGCAATGTAATGTATTCCAATTTGCTTTGATTTTTTGTTTTCTACTGGCCCATTTTTATCGCGTGTTTTGCCCCCATACAAAACATGTATTCTCCCCTATTTATTTCCACACTAACTCTCCTGAAGAAAGCCCTCAGGTCGAAACGTCGAGAAGTGTTTTGTCTATTTTCGGCAGTTGTAATACCACAATTGATGCTAAGTTGTTTGAAGACGTTGCCACGCTGCCCCCTGGTTATATTATGGGTGGTATACAAAAGTCGCAGTTTTAACCTGCTGCAATTCAATAAATATTGAGTCCAACAATTTAATTTTTACTTAAAGAGGAATTATTTAGCTTTCTGGCATTATTTCTTTGTTACAAAAGAAATCCGTCGGAAAGAATTCAATAATTGATCGAATCAACACCTCTCAACCGCCTCCCCCCCCCGGCTACTGTTCTAAGTTCGTAATTATAAATGAGTTTAACTCTGAAAAAAATGGATCCCACGACTTGTGGTCACTTTTACGATTCGTTAAATGCGGGAGTATTGGAGATGTAAGTCGCAAACTTAGAAAACAGGGTAAAATTTATTCAATTTAGAGTTTGGTGATAACGTCGAATTACAGAGTGCATTGTCAAAAAAATCTGCAAGAAAAATGCTGGCGAAAACCTTCTTGTTGCTTTGCGGAATCCATGCAGCATTCTGTGCAGGTAACTAAGTGTACGTCTGTATAACTTTTGCAAACCCAGTGATCTACCTCGTTCCCAGGGTCTTCCGTACCGCGTGCCATGAACGCAAAAAACCTGGGAACGAAGTTCGATACCAAGCTTTCGGCCAGTGATTATAAGCTGCATGTAATATAATGTATAATTATTTTGTAGTTTATAATTTAAAGGTCAGTCAGCTTGACCAAATCTCCATTGATTTCTTGGTCCATAAGAACGCACTTTTTTATAAAAAAAAACTACAAAGAAATCACGAAACCATAAAGTTTTTGTCATTTTCTATGGATTCTCGTTTGTTTTCTTAGCCGAGTGGAGAACTGTCGGATATGGGTGCGTTGGTGCAAGGGATACCAAATTTTTAGCACTGAGGTACACCGGCCAATCTGGTTTTGTGAGTGCATTCAGGATGACTCACACGAGTGGAAAACTTGGATGCTATCAAGCTGCACAGTCAAATTGGGGATGTAATCATCAGGGTCTAAACATGTTCGTCACAGATACAGAAAATACGATCATGTATCCTTCGCCTGTGTTAACCAAGCCTTATAAAGCTGGCGGCTGGTATCGTCTGCCTGGTTATTATCACAATTCACCTCAGCTGGTTCTCTCAGATGTGGGCACCAGGTTCATTTATCAAAACCAAGCTATACGAATCTGGTATGGTGAAGATCTTTACGATTACACTGAGAGCGACAACCATGGAAAAACTTGTTTTAAAGCTCACTTTTACTTTGTTAATTAATTAATTTTGTGCAATTTTGTGAAAGTATAAAAATACATTTCTACTTAAGATTAACAGTTTGTGTTGTTGTGACTTGTGGAGTTTGTTCAGGAAATTGCACAGTTAGGAATGTGTTTCCACCAAAACAAATTACTTTCGCTCCTTAAAGCTTGCTGTCCGCTAAGTCGTATGAACATGCAGTCGTAGCTATGTATCGTGAACATGTCGAGGTGGGTGGTGTGTATTTCTATGTGTGTGCAGTCAACAATGACCGATTTGAATACGGAAATAAAGAAAAATTTACACCCGCCGGACTATTTCTCATCGATGAAAATGACTTGTTGATGCATGACAATCACGACTAAACGGAAATAGGGCGTATATAAGATAGGGCGGTGAAACGGCGATAGAACGCATGATTTATGTGTTATGCATGGGCCCCCACTTGTTTTAGCACATGCATGCGAGTAAATATGGCGTTTCAAGCAACTTTCGAAGATTTGTTGAAAGAGGAAAATTTTGATTTCGTTTTCACTTTCGACGGCACCGATGTCGAAAAGTATGACAAATCATCCGGTTATTCGATTATTAGCTATTTCGCAATAACATACAAAGGTTTAGCAACTTCTTGTCCGGTATTTAATTATCCCGCTCTTTTGCTTACATTGCTATGGCCCCCAAGTTTTCCCGTGACGTTGTGTTTGTTCACATATAACAAAAAAAGGTTCAAAAATTTACGAAACAATATTTTTACTACGGTGAGATATATTAATGAACTATTTGTCCGTGTATTTGCTAAGCTGGGAGGGCAGTACAAGATATTAATATCAAACATATTATTCCACCAGCCGAAAGAAGCCAGGCTTCGGTGACCACAGGCGCAAAATTTATTTGAGAACAATTCGTATTTACTCATTATATCTCGACTTCTGACCAAGGATCAACGTGTTGGTAAGTTGAACAAGTATTTTTTTGTCGACGTAAGAATGGAAGAAAGCGAAAAAGTAATAAATGTATATGAAATCCGTAATTTGTAAACCCTTACGATTTGGAATGTAATCAAATTTTTATGCTGTGTTGAGCAAGCTATTGAAAAAATATCAAAAAATTACCTGATGAAACTTGATGGGATGGAAGGTTTGATTTTTGGTTTCCTTCCCGAAATAGCTGTGTGATCATTAATAATTAAGAAAATGTTCAGAAAAGAGCGCTTGCTATCATCTAACCAAGCCAGTCCATACCAATCTAACTTGGAGACGTTTAATCTATACTTCTCTAAAAGATAGACGTTCTCAGTTATGCGAAAGGTGGTTCTCGTCTATCATGAACTCTAAATCTCACAAGATGCACAGCCTCTTACCTCCCTTACAAGCAGAAAGCTACAGCATTAGGAAGAAGCGAGTCTTTAATATTCCCATGAAACGGACTCAACGCTTCAAGCGGACCTTTATCCCGTCTATGTATAATATAACCAATTCACTTTGACTATTTGTTTATATTTAAAATATTATTACATTTTATATAACTATGTATATAGGCTTTTATTATTTCCAATAATTCTAAATATTTTATGATCTCAACTTGTACATCAATTACGCAATTCAGCTATTATGAGCTGCAATGTAATTGTTTTGATAAACTATCTATGTATCATCTATCTATCTATCTAGTTTGTCTCTTTGAGTTTCGAATTAAAATTTTGATTTGAAAATATTTGGCGCCCTTCCTCGCTAGCCCCAGTCCTAAAGTGCATCACACATGTTTCATACCAATGTATCGCCGTTTCCACGCCCTATCTTATATACGCTCTGATTGAAACCAGGGTTGAATGTGGACGTCGCTAGCACTACATGGATAAGTGATGTAATAAAACATCGGAGCCATCGCGTGCAAAAACTCGCGATTTTAACTTTAGATCTAGGCGCCAGTTACACGATACCGGATCGGTTTTCGCATCGGATAATCTACGCTGATTCGATATACATATGGTATAGGATTTGTCTTGATTACACGATACCGCGGTTTAGTTTTCGTATCGGATAATCTTCGTTGATCCGATGTACGTATGGTATCGAATTTGTCTTGATTATACGATACCGGATTAGTTTTCGTATCGGATATATATATATATATATATACACCCATTTGCAAAAACGTTGGCCGCAGATAGATATATAGATAGATACTCAAAATCTAATTAAAATTGCATATGTTGTGTAATATTATAGAAATCCCATGCAAATGTAATCATATGCAATTGTAATTAGACTTCGAGTATCTATCTATCTATCTATCTGCGGCCAACGTTTTTGCAAATGGGTGTATATATTTATATATATATATATATATATATAATATATATATATATATATATATATAATATAATATATATATATTATATTTATAATATAATATACTAGTTATATAGGGCAGGAATTGCAAAGACCGTTTCTTGCATCACCCATACGCCAGTTATACAGTAACATGGTATGGTTGGCAATTTAGATGAGAGCAAGTGAATCCCTCATTACGACAGCAAATAATTCACGAGAAGCGACGGAAATCGGACAACTTCATATCCATTACACGCAACAACACTTACGATTCCGCTGACACGAAAGCTTGCCTTTCCTCTACATTTTGGAGTTGGAAACCTTCGTCCTCTTCGATTTTTGTTTCCGCACATTCTTTCCGCTTTTCATGTTGAATGGTGTCCATCAATGACTTGTTGTGTGTCTCGGGAAGCAGCATGATTAGAAAAGCGCTTGCAAGAGACAGCACACCAAGAATAGCAAATGGCACAAACGTCGCTGTATACGCGCCCTGAATAAAAACAACGTAATGTGTCAACGCGTCTTTTAAGACAAGTCGTTAAAAAGTCGTTAAAAAGTCGCTTAAAAAGCAACATTTTCGCGTGAAACGTACCAGCAAGAATATCTGTGACAAAAGCATGCCTCCAACTCTTGTCCAAGCATTATTAACACCAAGACTAAGATTCCTAAAACATGCATTAAACATGTTTGCATGAAGAAGTTCACTTTGCAATGACGCAGCGCATGCTCTGTGATCACAGTTGGAATTTTCAAACAACAAATCCGAAGTTTGAAAAGATTTGTTGAAAATACTGCAGGGAACTGTAACACTAATTAATATACTAAGTTATCTCATCCAAAATATTCAGTACAAAAACTTGCAAAAACAAAATTGCAACTGTGATCACAGAAACCTTGACAGTGTAAGCCGGGCCTTAGAAAATATGTGGGGGGAGTCACTAACTAGAAAGATTTTATCCCAACGTTGTCCCTGTTATTGATATGAATACAGTATAGAATGGGATGATATTTTTCGAAAACCCCCCGAATGCTTACTCTAAGAGCAATTACCAGTGTTATAGACAATTATTCGTATCAAATATCACTTAGTGCAAATGAAGAACAATGTCTACATATTATCATTGTTTTTAAAAAAATTCAAAATTCATTTACGTTTTATAATCATATACCTACCGAATAACAGTCGGATATAATTCAGCAGTAAATGTAGGCGCAACATTCATTGTGGAAAGTGCGGAAGACTTTCCAAGAAGCGCAGTCGCACTTCCCAGAATTTTAACTCCGGTTGCATCTAGCGTAAAGGTAAATTTTTATCAATACATACATAGGCTAAATAGGCTATGTATAGGCCAGGCGTTTTATAACGTTGCATTCAGCTACACGCGCCTCAAGCATCAACGCATTTTTGCTTTTCTTACCTCATCTTAATATTGTTGCTGAATGCAACGTTATACGTTTTCTAATAAAGCGCCGACACATTGATTCGAATTAGCGTGCAGGCTCATAATGTCGGCAGATGTCTCTTGTAAAATACGGATTAGTAGGCGAAATGCATATCTTTTGATTCTTCGCCAGTGAACCTGTATTGGGAGAAATTTTGACAGTTCTGACTGGCGTGGCAATATTTAATTTGCACGCAGAAAGGCTATAGCTATATAGTTTCTAAAGCCAGCAGACAGTTTTATGCGTTTTCTGACTGTTTCTCTTTACGTAGAAGACGCCCAAATCAATTTATCCTGCAAGATTTTGCAATGTAAGCACTTCTAAAACTTTTTTAGGCAAGCTATGTATGTGGAAAGTTTCTAAAGATTACCTGACTCAACTGCGGTTGTTACAACTGAGATCAGATTCGCTATTCCACAAATCAAGAACGCCAGCGCCAAAGGCCTCCGACGACCAAATCTTAATGAAGATCGTGCATGTACTGTAACAACATAAACGAATATTTACGATTAAAATTTCTCTGAAGGCCCTGTTACGCGGTGCATTCTTTATTGCAATGCAATGGTTTATTACACTCCATACACGTTTCTTGCAATTACATTTTGAAGACTTTTTACTACCTTACATCTCTTAAAAGTAGAATGCATTGAAAGTTGCCTGAAATTACTCAGTATAACACAGTCTTCAAGGAGAGAAACTATATGTTGAAGATATCTGTAAAATGAGCAGACAATTAAATTGATACTGCATGAACAACGTTTAATTTATAAGTACATTAGCTTGTAGGTACACCACGTAAGCTAATTTTTCAGCTTACCCGGTTGGTGACTCAGAGTAGCAACATCACAATAATTATTCATTTCATATATACATGCACCTGAGCTAATAATCATGTAACGAGAACATTGAGCATTTTGCATGTATTGAAAATTAATTTTTCAATACTGACAATGCGATTATAGTCTTTCAGCTTTTCAGCTTTTCAACTTTTCAACTTTTAACAAAATAACGACTGTGACTATTTTTTTACAGTGAACACTTTCATTTTAAAATACCCAGTCTTTTCGTCTGAGTTTTGTTAGTGTTTCTCTTCATTTCATTCATTCTAATTTCCTATTAACTGTGATAATAACGATGCAATCAACTTTGCATGCACAAAAATGGTTGAGCAGATATAAAAGCTATAATGGTATTAGTTTGCGTGATAATATGTGCCGTGTGGCGTTAATTATAATTACAAATATT